GGTTTCATCCTTAAAACTAATACTTCGAGAGTATTAAAGAAAATACAGCTGTAAGGCCTGAACGTATCACTAAAAATAAGGGAACTTAACAAATCAGAAGTAAACTATCTACAATTAGAGTGCAATAGCATGCCTTCAAATGTTGGGTTCAGGGATCTTCTTAACTCCAAAAAACAAGGTCTGCAAAAAAATCCATAGAAGAACTAGCATTTGAGATACAGAAGTGGCAAGCACCAATATGTGTATACGAAGTACATGATTGCCAGGGTCAGACCACATATTAAAGCTCAATGAAGCCTTTTGTCCTAATGTAATATGTGTGTTTTATATTTTATTTGAGATAAGGTGAGAAGACTGAAGGCTATGGATTCCTGTCCAGGTAGCAGTTATATGGATGAAAAATGAGCATGACTGCTACAGAACAATACTGAAAAGAACAGAAATAAGCCATGCAGCACTTCTGCTGTTCTTGACAATCTTGATAACTTTATTGGTGGCGCATCACTTAAAAAAGACTTTGGTAAATAAGTTGATGGGTGATACTTCTAAGCCAATATGTTCCAAGATAAGATGATTTTTAGCTGTTCTTTTCAACCAGCTAACAGGTTAAATATGTTCCCCAGTAGTGGATTCCCCTTACAGTGAATGCATTAGCAGAATGATATACTACAAACCAGTATCGATCTTCTTGAAAACTTCTGTGCCTCTAAGTTCATAGTTGTTCAAGGTTATTTAGCTGCATTTATGGGTGAAGCTGTCAGAGTCTACATCTGCAAGAGTATCTGTAGCTGTGGCAACAACACATTACGGAAGAATCATGCCAATGCCAATTCCAATGCCAATGAATACCTGATAACTGAAAAGCCCTCGCATTGGATTGGGAAAATAAATTCAGCGCTACCATGTACAAAGGAATGTGTGGCATCGAACTTCCCTGGTTTACGCTGACATATTCAACCGAACAAAAATATAGCAGAACGCTAGTAGAAATATTCACCATAGTGATGATCCATTAACCATCGACGGTCCCAATCTGCAAACAGAAGAGAGTTTCACAAGTCATTGTTGGATCAAAATGGGCCGTTCAGGCGCTGAGGAAACAAGCAGTACCATTGCACCAGCCCATCACCCTGCCCGCAGAATCCGGAGGACACCATCACATGAAAAATTGGTTAAAAATGGGGTGAAAAATCGAGGAGGTGTTAGGGTTTAATCCAACAGAAAAGCCCCAAGCACGCACAGACGGTGCCCACAGATTAGGGGAATGAGGGGAGCTTGGAGTCCCCAAATTAGGGTTGCATTTGCAGCAAACGAAAACGAAATGAAATCCAGGCGCGCCTTCGAATTAAATTTCAGGGAGGAACGGACGAGACCTAGCTGGGCCGCGCCTCGATGTCACACCTGGCCACTTGTCCGCCACTTGTCCAGTGTGACGTGGCAAGGATCGGGCCCCATGTGTAAGAGTGTGTGAGTGAGAGCGAGGGAGCGATAAAAGGGCAGCCAGCCG